TCTTTTTTTAAAAGCACTGTTTTAACTCTATTTTGCTTACATTTGATTCATTAGCCTTGTTTAATTCCAATACAACGGAGAGGGCCCTTATTGAGAGTGACAAGTGGATAGATATAGGTTATATAACGATATAAATATGAAGATGGTCCGGGTTGTATATAACAATTATACATTATAACAACAAAATTTACCAGATCTCTTAAGGTCATTAAAGAATATTTTCGAATTAAAAATATTATCTGACTTTAACCATTTATCCCTGACTTTTCCTGGTTCTGGAAATTCCCTGACTGTTCCAGGTTTTCCAGGTCGGTCGCCACCCTGCAACCAGAAGTGGATGCATTCCGTCGTCAGACCCGATTCAAGACCAAATTGGTCAGCGACACAATATTTCTAAATTTGACTTATTCCAAAATGGTATAAACCTATCCTGAATAAAACTAGAACACCCAGAGACCATAAAAACAATTTGCTAACTGTAAGTTGTCGCATTTCGCCCGTAGACGTAGGTTAACCATCAACTTTCTTTCAAGGTTTATTAATTTTAAGATGGAACAAATCTTTTCTAAATAAAACTATTCTACCCAGAGACCAAAAAAAATTTTTCAAAGGCATAGTTATGTCAAAAATCAACCTCTTTCTTTCATAATTTTACTAATTTGATGATGGATGACACCTTTTCTAAATAATACTAGCATCCCTATAGACAAAAAAAAAAAAGAAATCTGGCAACCAGAATCGCATGCACTGGCAATGGTGTTGTTATGCCAGACGTGAACCTAAAATTCACATTTTTGTTTCAAGCCTCGACCCATTTGAAGATGAATGAAACTTTTTCAAAATAAAACTGGTCCATTTAAAGTTCGCAAAAATAAAATGATAATAATCTTTCCTGATATTGATGAAAAAAACCAAATCCCTCTACCGAAAGCAGCCGCATTTGCCGGCATACACAATTAAAAAACCACCTTAATATCTTCAAAATTTTACTCATGATAAATGAAAAATCAAATAAATGAGACTATTTCTCAATAATGGGATAATTGTAATTGTAGTTGTAAACGCATCTATATTATTAGGCATTATAGAAACGTCGGCAAAAAATAAAATAATTACTATATTTTAATTTAGTATTTATTTGACCACACCCCCCGATTAACTCCTTCTCATATTAGGCATTATATTTCTCATCCACTTTTCTTCATGTCACTTTAGATGCCCAATGTTCATATGCGTTTTCCTCTAAAGTACTTTTAATATGGTTTCTTTTAAATAACTAACTATCTCTCATTATTAAGAGTTACGAAAAAATGTTAAATATAACTTTTGAAAGAATTTGATAATTGAATAAAGGAGAAAAAAATAAAAATGCTTATCCAGGTCGAAAATGAGTCTCCGGAAATACTAGTCAGAAGGTATACGTATAATATAATGTATATGGATGACCAGGTAGCTATCCGAGGAACAAGCCTGCCTAGCAGAATGAAGAAAGTATTTCAAGCAGCTCTTGAATGGTCAAAGCATAGATAGCCAAGGGACGGAGCTGCCCTTTGGTCAGGATGGAACAGATGACCTGGAACCACCTGATGAAGGCGAGGTCAGTGAGGCCTTCAACAAACTAAAAAATAATAAGGCCCCAGGAATTTATGGACTTCCTGCAGAACTATTTAAGCATGGAGGTAATGAACTCCTCAAGCTCCTTCACAACTTATTGGTGAGCATATGGACTCAGAAAATAATGCCTAAAGACTGGAAGAAGACAGTCATTTGCCCGATCCACAAGAAAGGAAACCTATTGAAATGCTTTAACTATTGTGGTATTGCTTTGCTCACGTGCGCATATAAAATTTTATCAAAAATCCTGTTCAACAGACTATTGCCGTTCACGGAGTGAGAGATTGGGCAGTACCAGTGCGGGTTCAGACTAAGAAGGTCAAAGATCGACCAGATATTCTGTCTGAGGACTATCCTGGAAAGGGGACAGGAATATAAGCTCAAAACTCACCATCTCTTCGTCGATTTTAAATCAGCCTACCACACGATTGACCATCAAAAGCTGTACGATACATTACACCAGTTCCAAAACTCCTCCCAGCTATTCTGGCTGACCAAGTTAACAATTGACGAGGTAGTGTGTGTTGTTAAAATAAAGGGGGCAACGTATTGGAAAAATTTTCTACGAGAAGATGTGTAAGATAGGGCGATGCCCTAGCATGCCTCCTTTTTCTCATGGCCCTAGAAAAAGCATTTCGTGAGTCCCAAATATCTTCAATAGGACAGTACAGCTCCTCACTTTTACTGACAATATAGACATTATTGGGCATTCAGCAGTTGCACAATCATTTCAGGACCTGGAGGCTGCAGCAAGAAAACTCAGCCTGACTGTCAACAAGGAAAAAATGAAATACTCAGTAAACCAGGAGACCCCAAGGCATGGCACTAGGGTGAGTTTTGGACCCTTCAGGTTTGAACAGGTATCAGAATTCACATACCTGGGCTCGCAGATTACTGTTGATAACTGGTTGGATACAGAGATAAATAAGAGGATTTTGCTCGTCAACCGTTGCTATTGCAGTATGAGTCAACACATGAAAAGCACCCTGGTGACTAACCATAATAAAGTAATCCTCTACAACAATCTTTCCAGACCAGTTTTATAACCAAAGCAGTCGAGCAGGACTTTTTAATATTTGAACGAAAGATTCTAAGAAGAATTTATGGTCACAGTGTGTGTAAATGGAGAGTGGAGAGGAGGAAAAATCAAGATCTCTACCAGCATTTTAATGAGACCAATATGGTCAATTTTATAAGAGCTGGCTTGTCTCAGATGGACAGATCATGCGGCCAGAATAAGAGACGACAGAATTCCAAAGAAGGTTTTGATTGAAATCCTGCCTGAAGCGAGATGAGTAGGAAGACCAAAGTTAAGATGGAGGGACAGCGTGGACAAAGATGCCAGGAAGCTAGGAGTTCGAGACTGGATGGTGGCAGCACAAAGCAGGGACACCTGGCAGATGCTGTTGGCAGAGACTATGACTCGCTAAGCAAGTTGTAGAGCCAATATAGATAGATAGACGTATAATATATCGTTGGAAATCAGAGAATTTTGGACAAAACAATAGCTAATGTAAAGAAAATTGTAGAAGGTAATGGAGTGTAGTAGACATCCCCCTGTATTTACTCCTTTAGACAACATTGTGTGAGGGAATGAGATGGAATATATAATATATAGGAATGTGAGGTTGCACTGTGAATTGTAATCAATTGTGCAGTGGACAAATTGCTCATTGGAAAATCTCATATCGATAAACAATCGAAAAGAAGAAAAAAGGTCTGATCAGGTAGCTGGGAACAGATGGTGAAGAGGACACCAAACACTTGAGGCAAAAGGACGGAAGCGAGAGGAAGTCATCTGGGAAGAGAGGCCTACTACATTGAAGACCAAGAATATCAAGCCGACAGTTATAAGACTTTATACATTCATTTATTCAGTTGTAAAATAAATTGTTTTATTATACAGGAGTGAAAGTCATTTTATTTAGTTGTCCTGAATGCCTCACGATTGAAGAATAACAAAACCAGGTGAGTCAATTCATTCAAAGTGTATTTACTAAGTCCCACATTTCAAATATATATTCTTATTGCTTCTTCTCACTCAATGTCACAAAAGGTAATAGATCCCCGAATTCCCAATCACAGTTAAACACCCTCAAAAAGTCGATATCCAGTGCCGGGGTTTTGTTTTAATAATTCACGAGTGTAAATAACCTTTGGCCCCGATATAAAAGTGGAAGGCTATTCGCAATTCCACCAAAACTAATAATTTTACAATTAACTTCCTGTAGGTTATTTACAGGAGAGTGACAAAGAAATTATAAATAATAATTTTTGAAAACTAATAATATTTAATGTAAATCACATGTTTTCAAGGAAATTAATTGAAATTTACTAACTAAATGTAAACTTTTAAATTATTTTTAAGTTTGAAAAAAGTATTTAAAATCCACCTAATCAAGGCAATTACATTGTTTAAAAAATCTATTTCATTGTACTTGTGTGGAAGAAGAAGTAAAATATAAAATAATTTCATGGATGTATAAAGCATATGTTTATAACCTTAAATATATTTACTGTTGTTTAATAATTCTAGATCTGATATTATATTTAAATAATTAGGTATCAACGTCCGTTTATTCCGAAATATTGTCATGTAACTTTTTAGAAAATTAAATTAGTGAATAATGTGATAAATCTTCCTATTGAGATATTCCAACAGTATCCAGTACTATTTCCTTATACTTGGGTGAAACAAGAAGTGAAATATAAAAATATTTCATAGATACGTTTATAACCTTAAATATATTTACTGTAGTTTAACTCTAGATCTGATATATTTAAATATTTAGGGATCTACCGTTTATTCAGAAAAATCATCATTTAATCTTTTAGAAAATTAAATTAGTGAATAGTTTGATGAAATTTTCTTTTGTTATATTCCAACAGTATCCACTTACAATTAGTGTGACGACTTTTGAACTGTCTATGACAGACAATGCAAATCTCTTAATTCCGTTTTAGTAAAATTTGCAATGGAAAATAACAGTTTAATAACTAATAGTCGTACAATCAATAATCAATGGATCGTGCAATCCATAATCAATCCATAATCAACAGGTGATATAATAAATAGAACTTTTGGTATTTTAATGGTATTTATGATTTGTTAACTGTAATTTCTTAGCTTTAGCTCAGTTAAAAATGCAATTCAAAAATTCTAGATTTTTTTTTTAATGTATATTGGATACATTTAATAGAATCAAATGGATGCTAAACATTAAAGGATGAATGAAATTAATTCACAGGTTATATTTTTGAGCTGAATATTAGAACCGTCGAGTCGTGTCGGGTCCAATGAAACCATAGCCTTACACATACACATGTGAAGCACACCAATAAATTAAATGTTTTGAATAATAATTTAAAAAATTAAATTTGCTTACCAAAATACCACTTTTCATATTGATCATGGAATTCAAGTGCTGTGTGCCATAGTTTGTAGAATGGATCTATTTGATGGACCATATTATGAAAAGTATTAAATGGAGTTTTTTCGAAATCCAGAAGAGTTTCTTCATGATTGATTTTCTATAACAGTTCATTTCAATAATTAACAGTCATCACAATAAATAATATTAAAGAAAAAAAAAATTTTAAATTATAAAAGAAATAAAAATTATAATTTAATTAATATTAAAACCAAAGTGACACACAAATCATGGATAAATTCACACGTAGAGTGATACATACATAAATACATTCCAATGTAGAGTCAAAAGTTAAGACCTACAATTAATATTAGATACACTCATAAGAATTAACTCAAAAACTTGTATATATTATACAACTATCATTATATTAAAAAAAAAAAAGAAGTAAATAATTTTACAAAGAACAAGGGACGAATAGCACACTAGGAAAGCCAATATGAAGGCAAAGTTACCATGAATGGTTGGGAGTGTGGTCATAAATAAGAGTACAAACAAATAAGAAACCTTATTTTAGGATCACATTAGCTAACATAAATATTCTGTAAATCTATTGCCTCAAAACTTTATGAACACTCCTTATTCCTGAACCATTCATTTTATATCAACTAAACTTCCATTATGGCACTGTCCCTAAGCAACACAAATGGCACAAATCATTTACATCCAATTAGAACCTGTTCCTGTAAATCAAAATGCTGAAAAATAAATCCTAAGCCTATTCCCAATTTTTTTCTTATCATTTTAAATGTTTACTTTCACTTACCTATATACAGTGGGTCACAGTGAAATTATATACTCCATAGAAAAATAAAAACAAAGACTTAAATGGTTACAGTAAACAAATAAAACCAGAATCTCTTCAACAAATTTATTTATTATCTCAATTTAAATATGCACAAACTCAATAAAATGAATATATTCAACTATGATTGTTTAAAAAAATTAAAATAAAAAAAAACTTAATAATTTTACCTCAGTCAAAATGATATAACTCACTTCATAGTAAGTTTTAAATACTATTAATTTAGTTCAATACCTTGTAGGCAAGCCATTATTTTCTACCACTTAGTCTTTTTGTAATGGAGTCGACCAATTTACTTGTGAATTCTAGGCTTAGCCTGTTCCACTCTTCAAGATGTTTATTTAATTCTTCTTTGCTTGAAATTTCGTGTTTTCTAATTTCTACCTCTAATTTTGCCCACAGGTGTTCTATCTCATTAAGATGTGTTGACTGTAGTAGAGTTTTTATAATTTTTGAGCAATTTAAGTAGCGATTCCTTACCTAACATGGCAGAGTGTTTGGGGCCATTATCCTGATAAAAACACGAAATTTGTTTTTAGCTCACATTTCCCACAACTTCTTTCTCTAAAATTTCTATGTAAATGTTTATTCACTATACCATGTGAATATTTCCACTATAAAGTGAAGATTCTTCTACACCAGAAGCCACCAAAAACCCCCACACCAAGAAACAGAACATAAAACATAACATAAGAGCAAGAAAAATAACATATTATTATCATCAGTCTGGCCTCTGCCGTCAATCAGTGAGCATCTCCTCTGTGTCTATTTCATATCTTAATCTATAGTGTAATAATGAATTACATTTTGTGAGTACTATATTTATCACTTTATTAAAAATACTTAGTGGCGTGTTTACAGCATTTGTGGATAATACTGCATGAGATAGTCTACTGTCATAGATAAAGAGACAAGGTATTAGACCGAGCACTGATAAGGGACTAATTCTCTGATTCCCCCACCATTAGTATCGCTCCCACCACTCTCCTCTCAAACCACTCCAACACCTTTAGTTCAATTACTCATCTCGCCATGTACAATATGTAAATTAGCAGTAACTAGGGAAGAAAAATATGCAAAGCATGCTTTAATTGCAAAAATATATTCCAAGGTAAATGTGCTAATGTCAACGATGTTGAGACGTTAAAAAAAAACAATGGTGCTGTCTCACAAGTGATCCACAAGTAATCCTAGAGCCAGCACAGAAGAAAACTTTGCGTTAGTTCTTGCCGAGCTAGGAAAAATGACAGAAGAAACAAAACATCTCAAGAGCACTGTTGACAAACAAACAAGTTTGTCTTTTGAAAACTCAGAAAAACTTAAATCAATGGAAGAACGATCTAAAAGGTAGGAAGATTTAATTGAAAAATTATTAGCCAAAAATAACAGACTCAACACAGAAATAAAAAATATGGAAATTAGGCTAACCTGTGTAGAACAAGCACAGCTCTCTCATTCGATTGAGCTAAGAGGGATCCCCACGAAGACCAGGGAAATGCCCGAGGAGAGAGTTTTGTCCGTCAGGGCAGCCCTCAGTATCAAGCTTAATTCCGAGGACCTGGACTTGGTGGAGGGAAAGCGTCCTAGGAGGGCAAATGGGTAAGGTAACAGGAGGGGTGAAGAGGGTGATGGATGTGGGAATCTTTCCTACTTCTTCTTCTTCTCCATGATCAAGCAATAGTGCCCTACCCACTGCTTGTGACTTCCCAGTCCTTCCTATCCCTATCATCGCCTACTGTCACCTTCTCGTAGTAAGACTCGTGAACGACAGATGTGGAGATCCACATTTCTGCCCTCTAATTTAGAGGACAGTTGTGTGGATCGTTCTACCACACCCAAACCAGGTGCAGGGCGCTCAATGGTTGCGTGGCAGGGGTGTCTTAAATAAAAATACCCAGTCGATTTGACCCACTTGGGGGCACCTGGTGCACCCCATTTTTTTTGCTTCGACATAATAGGGGGATGCACCGCGGCCCTCATAAAGGCCTATTGTGCGTCGTCTTAAACTCAGCTAAAACAGGCCAGATACCTTCATAAATCTATTGATACTGATGGGATCAATCAGTTTATAGTGCTTGGGGTCAGTGATACGATCACATCTAAAAGAAAGTATCGTAGTCTAGCCAAATTATCACATCTGCAAATAATGCGATAGGCTGTTTCATCCTCTAGGCCATATAGCCTGCAGATGGAGGTTTCACTTACACCCAAATTGGAAAGGTGCTTATTTAATTGACAGTGACCTGTATACAGTCCTACCACCCGCCAAACGATATTCCTGTCCATGACAAACCATAACTGGTAGATCTTATCCATTCTCTTGACCTATTTATCGTTCCTTTTCAACCTATTCACCATACTCAGTTCTCAAGTACATGGCTTGATCTTTTTTTAATTGACTTCTCTCAAAACTTATAGTCCTCCTTCCAGAATCTGGTCTCTTTCCTTTTATATCATCACCTCATAAAGATTTCCCATAACATTCCAACTCATAAGTTCACTAGCAGGCAAATTACAAGGCGGGATCTTGGCTCCTTGACCTACGATAAACTAAATCCTTTCCTCGAATCACTAGCCCAATTCTTAGATCCCATCCATTCCTATTTTTCCATTGATGAAATGGTGGAGTGTCTTTCCTCTAATCTTTTTCTATACCTAAATCAACACGCAACCTTCAAATGCCCTCCTGCTCCCTGGATTAATCCAGAAATAAGAGAAGTAATGAGAAGAGACCCTGCAAAGAGGTGTTTTAGAAGCACAAGTGATCCGGATGACTACTTCTCTATCAAGACTTTTCGAAACCTTACCCTATCTTCCTTGTGACGTGTTAAGGCACAATTCCGTCATATTTCCTTATCACAAAAGCCCCAAAAAATCAAAAATCTGCATCCTACCATGTTTCTTCTGATCGACTAAATTCTCACCATGCCAACCCTGACTCATTTCTCTAAAAATTTTTATTTTGCAATTATTTCACCAGAAGACCTACTTCCTAAAATCCAGAACAAATGACTATGGCCCGGATCTAATTCCTGTAAAGTTAACCAAACTATGTCTTCCTGTCATCTTTCCTATCCTGTTGCATCTACAATTTTTCCTTAAAAAATTCCAGTTTCCCATCAGCCTGGAGAAAAGTTATTGTCCGCCCGCTGAACTCTCACTTCTCTAAAAAGTTTCTGATTTCAGACCCATCTCTATTCTCTCCAACCTTTCAAAACCTCTTGAAAGAATTGTCCATGCACAGCTTGACTACATCCTCTAGGATATGAGCTAGATATGAGATCCTCTAGCTCTCCTCAATCACCTCCAGTCTGGTTTTTGGTCTCAGTTCTACACCAAGTCTGCGTTGTTGAAAATTACCCAAGACCTTCATTTCTTCAGAGACAAACAGAAAATCACTATCCTGGTCCTCTTTGATTTCTCAAAAGCATTCGATTCAGTCAATCATGAAATCCTCCTTTCCATATCAAATAGTGCTCTAAAATGGTTCCATTCCTTCTTGTATCAAAGATCCCAAACAGTCAGCATACCTAATAAAACTTCCTGCCCCTTCTTAGTAACCCATGGTGTTCCTCAGGGATCTTTGCTCTCTCCAACTCTTTTCTCCATCTACATCAACAAACTTCCTGATTCCATCCATCATTCACCACAATATCACTTATATGCTGAGGATCTCCAAATCTATTTTTCCTTTCATCCTACCAAGATACTTGAGGCGATCCAAAGGCTTCAAGAAGACATTGATAGTATTAATACTTGGGCAGTGAGCAACGATTTAATGTTGAATGTTGAGAAGACCAGAGCCATTCTCATTGGTTCCAAGCATCTGATTAATTCCATTCCTTATTATCCCCTACTCTACCTCAATGGCCTACCTATCCGTTTCCACACTTCCATTGTTACTAATACCTTGGGGTAATGTTGGATCAATATGTGTCCTTCAATAATCATATTTCTGAAAATCAATGGCTACCCTCAGACAGTTCCTAAGATTCCGTGATTCCATACCCCTTAAAATCTGTTAGCTCCTAGTTTTCTCACTCATTTTGATTATGACTGCCTTGGAAATAGAAACAGATATGGTCGAATATAACTGAAAATAAATTGAGGGAGGTTAAGGGTGATGTTTCCTCTTGAGATTCGTCAAATAGGAATAACTGCAGAGAGGAACTAATTCTTATGCGCCTGCGTATAGGTCATACACACCTTACTCATGGATACCTGATGGTATCCATGAGTAAGGTGACATCCATGAGTGAAGGCGAAGTGGCATGAGCAACTTCGCCAACATGCCAAACCTGTGGGACTCCTCTGACAGTGGAACACATTTTAACACAATGCAGAGCTTACGAAACATTTAGACTATCTTGTGACTTGACAAACGATCTACACTTTACAGGACAATACGAATGAAATTGATAAATTATTTTCTTTTCTGAAATGTTCTAAACTTGAAAATACAATATAATTCTCAATGAAAATAAGGCAATAATGACTCTAGTAGTTGAAGCCATATTTTATATTAAAAAAAAAAAATGGCTGCCTTGTATATGGTGGACTATCTGGTGGGGTTGAGATCTGATTGAAGAGACTAATGAATTGTTTCATTAGCTTTATTTTTGGAGTCCCCAAGCGCTCCCATCTTGAGTTGGTATCCCGAGTTGAAGTGGCTCTATTTAGTCTTCCAACGGCAATACTTCCTAGGTGTATTCCTTTTTGGAATCTTTTCGACCAAAAAATCCTCTTAGCTTCTCTATTTGTTTTCTCCTTATTCCTTCAACACGAGATCCCAGCCCTCAAACCTGTTTATTCCTTCTCATAGAACTGTTTTCATTAAAAAATCCTTTGTCTTATGTACTACCTTATTTTGGGAATTCTCTACCAACCTGCATATGCAAATCATCATCCTTGACCTCATTTAAATATAATTTATCTATCCATCTCCTCAGCAATCAATCTTCCAAATATGTGTAAAATAATGTTCACATTTTTCAGAACTTTCAGTCGCATTTAATGCTATCTGACAGATAATTATATATCACCCACATTGTTTATGTGTAAAAATATGTGAACACGCATATCTGAATTTATCTATAATTTCATATGTATAGAAGACTTATATATTATATGAGAGTAAGTGAACATTCTAGCTCAAAAATGAAAAGTCATACAAAACTGAAGTTTTATATTCCAGGTTTGCATATTACCTGGGTTTAATAATACAGAACTTTTATTTGTCTGAATTGACGAACCGAAGTGCCACTTCATATTATCAATTTCCCAAAAATGGCACTAACGACTTTGATTAAACTCGTTATATCAACATAAAATCAAGTGATATTAACTATATGGCAGGTATTATGTTCATTGAAATAGTCTGATAGGGCTTAAATATTGACTGAATCAGTATTAGTCACATCAATTTGGCTACAGACAGACACCGAACCAAATTTGATTCTTGATGTCTGAAACGTACAACACGAGTAGAATTCTGTGCACAAAATTTTTTTAGCCTTCCTTGAAATTATAGATAGAAGTCTTGTAAAATGGTCTGTATGAGAGTAAGTGAACATTCTAGCTCAAAAATGAAAAGTCATACAAAACTGAAGTTTTATATTCCAGGTTTGCATATTACCTGGGATTAATAATACAGCACTTTTATTTGTCTGAATTGACGAACCGAAGTGCCACTTCATATTATCAATTTCCCAAAAATGGCACTAACGACTTTGATTAAACTCGTTATATCAACATAAAATCAAGTGATATTAACTATATGGCAGGTATTATGTTCATTGAAATAGTCTGATAGGGCTTAAATATTGACTGAATCAGTATTAGTCACATCAATTTGACTACAGACAGACACCGAACCAAATTTGATTCTTGATGTCTGAAACGTACAACACGAGTAGAATTCTGTGCACAAAATTTTTTTAGCCTTCCTTGAAATTATAGATAGAAGTATTGTAAAATGGTCTGTATGAGAGTAAGTGAACATTCTAGCTCAAAAATGAAAAGTCATACAAAACTGAAGTTTTATATTCCAGGTTTGCATATTACCTGGGATTAATAATACAGCACTTTTATTTGTCTGAATTGACGAACCGAAGTGCCACTTCATATTATCAATTTCCCAAAAATGGCACTAACGACTTTGATTAAACTCGTTATATCAACATAAAATCAAGTGATATTAACTATATGGCAGGTATTATGTTCATTGAAATAGTCTGATAGGGCTTAAATATTGACTGAATCAGTATTAGTCACATCAATTTGACTACAGACAGACACCGAACCAAATTTGATTCTTGATGTCTGAAACGTACAACACGAGTAGAATTCTGTGCACAAAATTTTTTTAGCCTTCCATACAAATACAAAGTTTCCCTACCTTTGGTAATGAGGAAGCAAAAAAATTTATAATACTGAATAAGAACTTACTTCAACTCTTTCCTTATCAGACTCCAAAAGATCAGATATTTGATCAATCTCAATTACATTTGACCTCATATCATCCATTGTCAATATGGGAGGATCTTTTATTTTAAATACATCAAGCAATGACATATGCTCCAATAATCTAAAAAAGATTAATAATACTTTAAAAAATAATAATAGAAACCTTATGTTATATGGTTTTAATTGTTGTAGAATTTTAGTTCTCAAAACTAAGAAGTAAAATTCCAAATCAATTTTTAAGCATTGTGGATAAATGTAAACAAACATTTCCTCTAATTTGATACGCCTTGCAGCAAGAGAATTTTCCATGACTTGTCTTTGTAAAGTAATTCTTTGCATGGTAATATCCAGAATCTTATCCATCTCTTTGGGCCATGTGAAAACTTTTCTAATAAATCTGCGATGGTCATCTGTAAAAAATACATTTAAGAATTGTGGTATTATGCCATCTATTTTTTTCTTCTTCTAATTTTCAATTAATCCATACCAAGTGGTCCAAAATAAATTCAATTGGTTCCACGACTATAATATAATATATACTACAATATATATCACATAATATTTTTTACATTATGTTTGTTAATTCTTTCATGTTTCTAGGGATGAATTTTTAAAACCAGACAATTTTTTTACTTTGACCATTTAGTAATGGCAGCCATTTTTCTTTGGATATATGGGTCAATATCAGGAAATTTGCGGTTCCCTCAACAGTTCAAAAACTACAAGACTTAAAAAGAGCAAACAAATCCTATTTTAAAAATAATGTTTTATCTACTCCTGATATGATACAAACCAACATACTCCCTGACCAGTGTGGCTACCAGACAATTTAAGTAAAATTTCCTGACATTTTCCTATTTAATGATAGCTTTTCCCTGACCAATGTGTCTGGGGCACAAATATTAATAATATATAATTTATAACTAAATTTACTTAATATATGTGGTAGAAAATTGACTAAAAAATAATTTGAGTAAAAACAAAAAAAAAAATTATTAGTCTTTTAAATAACAAATATAATGTTTTAGAGGAAGGAATTTTTGTAAGCTTGATTAAGGTTTGTACTTTCACTTACATATGTAATGTATAGTACAGTAAGGGTAAGTATTGTGATCATGAAAATATTAGAATTTGAGTTTTCAATGGAAATACACATTTTGAGGTATGGTTTCAAATAACCTTTTTTTTTTTTTTTTTTTTTTGTTCTTCCCTACCTCGCCTTATAGGCTATACAGGATTTTCCCGGACCGGGGGGTGAGGGCAGGGAATTTAAAATTCCCTCCGGCACCGGGACGCGAACTCGTACTTTTTATATCATCTCAAATCTCTGTTATCCGGTTGCCAGGCAACTAGCGGTGCTGTGCACACGCTTTAGCCTATTCGGCCACCCCGCCCCGGTTTCAAATAACCAAGTCCCACAAAATGGTCTGTGTATGGTTTTTATTTAAGGTGAACAGCCTAGTTCAAAAACTTGTACAAAACTGAAATTTAGTACCTATTCGGTTTTTATATACCTGAGATGTTACAGCAACATTTTTGTCAAAATCGGCAAACCGGAAGTGGTACTTTATATAATTGATTTAACACATTTTTATGATTTACTAAAAAACGGCTCTAACGATTTTTATTAAACTCCCTAGATCAGTGTACTATATAGTGGTTTTTAATTTAAGGTAGGTTTTATCCTTATTGATGCAATCTGACAGGGCTTAAATGATTTGAAATAATTAATCATTTTACATTTGAACCTGCTATAAAAAATGGTTTTATATAGTGAATGGAGAAAATTGATTGGGTAGAAAGCTATACAATGGGTAGAAGAAATTGGGGGATAAGAATAGAAAGCTATAGAATATTAGCTATGTAGGAAGCTCGGCTGTTTAGCCGAAGCGACAGATCTTTGCCGATTTTCTCCCTTTACAGATACCCGGTACCCCTCCCTCTGCTTTGTACAGTGGTTTTATACAGTTTAACTTTTATGTATCACTTATCCATAATTTTTTAGAAAGATTTTCATGCAAAATGTTGAGGATTTATTATTAATAAATGTAATAATATGCAATATTTATTCATGTTAAGTTTATTTTTTTGACCAGTTTTGTGATAAATGTTTCTGATATAGCTCAGAATTTTTCTAAAAGATCCAATTTCTCCACAATGATTAGTATTATTTGATAAAATACACAGTTGTAAAAGAAAATGGAAAATAATGAAAAGGTATAAATTTAACTTATTCGATGGACATAGGTAATTAATTGTTTTAAATGAAGTTATACTGCCGTTTTCACTTGGACTTGCTATAAGAAAATACCTATCAACTCTTAGTTTGGTAAGTAAAAGTTGTGTGACACGAGCCCCACACCAGATTTTTACTTTCACTTACCTATGACCAGGAACTAATACCACTATGACCACGACTAATGACCAGAAACCGGGATCAACTCAACAAGAGTCTAATCCGCCAGCCATTATGTTCAATTGTATTTTTCCTCCGAGTTATTCTTTACAATTTTTCACTTCCTTAAAGTTCAAATCTCCCTGCAGAAGATTTTTTCAAAGGGTAAATGAAAAGCGTCGGACTTAAAAATAGCTGAGGTTGAGTTACTTAGCTATTTACTTGAATTATTTCAAGACAGAACCAAGACTTTTCGTGCACATCCAACTAAAAGTAAAAGTGCTTTTCCTGAAACTGCCTATGAACCACTTCAAACCTCTGACAAATAAGCTGAGAAGAGTAGCAACATAGCCACTGTTGAGACAATGGTGAAGAAGACTAAGGGAAAAAAAAAAAGAGAAAAAGGTGATAAGGAAGCAACTTCCCCAGAACTTGTTCAAAGCTGAACCTGTTCAAAGGAAGCCTGAACCTGATCATCCACTATCGTAAATCAGAAACAACTGGAGTTAGCAACAGTACAACCCCTTTGTTGGAACTGCCTTCAAACGAGACACCATTACCCAGAATGTTTTAAGCACAGAATAATCCTTTTCTGTTATAAGTGCGGCATGTGGTGTGTGGGTGAGAGTGTGTTTGTGTGTGTATTCACACACACAAGGGGCCGGCATAGCAGAATGGTTAGCAAGCTTTACTAGTAAAGTAAAAATCATAAGATCGAATCCCGACTCTTACTTCCCAATACGGTCGGTCCTCGCAGGAAGATGTAGTAGATAGCCCCCAGTATTTACTCCTTTATGTGACATTGTGTGAGGGAATGAGAAGGAATATATAGGAATGTGAGGTTGCATGATGAATTGTACTCAATTGTGCACTGGACAAATTATTCATTGAAAAGTCTCATATCGATAAACAATCGATGAAGGAGGAAGAAGGAAAAAGGTCCCGTCAGGTAGCAACAGCTGGAGAAAGACGCCAGAGAAGAGAGAGGGCACTTGAGGCTTGGGCATGGAGGCGAGAGGACGTTACCTGAGATGAGAGGGGCAGGACATTGAAGACCAAGAATATCAAGCCTACAGTTATAAGACTTTAAGATTCACTTATTACAGTTGTAAAATAAATTGTTTTCTTAGACAGAAGTGAAAAGCCATTTATTTATTTAGTTGTCCCATAGGCCTCACAATTAAAGAATAATAAACCAGGTGAGTCAATTCATTCAAAGTGTATTTACTAAGTCCCACATTTCAAATATATATTCTTATATATATATATTCTCAGGTAATATATATTCTCAGGTGAGTCAATTCATTCAAAGTGTATTTACTAAGTCCCACATTTCAAATATATATTCTTATTGTTTCTTGTCACTCAGCGTCACAAAATGTATTAGATTCCCGAATTCCCAATAACAGTTAAACACCCTCAAAAGTCTATATCCTGTGTCGGGGTTTTGTTTTAATAGTCACGAGTGTAAATAACCTAGTTCCCCAATAAAAGCGGAAGGCTATTCGCTATTCCCACCAAAACAAATTATTTACAATTAAACTTTTATCAGGTTATTTACAAAGTTAGACCATTACCCTCTAAATTAGAGGCCTACAGGTTATAAAATACTTGTAATAAAAGGCTTGAAAAAATATATATATATTGTAATGTACACCTTTATTGGAAGTGAGTAAAAAGGGTTTAATAAATTAATTTTTAACAATTTAAAGGCAAGCTAATCTAGTTGTACTAGTGCAGGGAAAAGAAAATGGCTACTCTATAATTTCTCAAGAAGGAAAATCCCAAAGAGGAGAGAGACAAAGGTTTTTTTTTTGGCAAGCAGTTGTTGTGTGACTGTAGTGAAGAGAGGATAGGAGAAGTGATCCTGGTCCAGTGGGTAAAACCCAGTAATAGTATTACCATCTTGGAAGGTGTGTTTGGCAAAACTTTGGAAAGTGTATGAAAACAAATGAATTCAGTGCTACAAAGGAAGAAACTTTGTATATAGAAAAAAGGTTAGCTTGCCAATCCACATTTGACTTTATTTTAAAATCAATGTTTGATTTTAATATAAACAGTGTAAATAATAATAGTTTGTTAGTCAGAGTTGATCTGATTGTCAGTAACCCACACCTAAGATAAATAAATTTATTAATTCTCCTATAATTTTGTTTATTATTAAACAACCTCTTTTTTATTTAAGAAGTATCCTAATGGTAAGAAGTGAGCTTCCGAGGTTATATTATTATTAATTGTGAAATATATGAGAGATGTTACATTTTGGCGATCAACTATGTGTGGCCTTATTCTTTAAAAATTAGGTCAAGACAATCAGATCACAGCTATAATAACCAATTTATTTTAATTGTATAGTTTTTTATTAATAATTTTCGAGTAATATAGAAAATAACCAGAGAGATAGTGGAAGGTAGAGATCTTAATACTATAATTCTTGGGAAATCTAATGGGAAGTTGTTATTGTAGAAAATAAGGCAGAGTCAGTTGTACAAAGTCTACTTGATGAAAATAGACAGTGTGAAAACTCTAACGGTAGTTGCACGGGGAGTGAAAGTCTGTTGGGATTAAATGAAATTCATGAGTTTAGTGAAAATAATGTGGAGGGTGAAAAATAAATATAAGTAGTAGTAACAATTTGAATTGAACTGATACTAATAATATGCTCCAACAAATAATGGCTATGCTTCATATTTTAGAGACAAATTTTGATAATTTAAACAAAACATTAGAATCTAATAATAAACAGATAATTTTGAAACAAGAATGTGATAACTTTGAAACCCAAATTATTGCAAATGTAACTGAAGTCCAAGAAACTACACTGGCTGATAAAACTTCTAATAATGAACAGAAAATTTTGAAACAAGATTGTGATAACCTAGAAATCCAAATGTAGAAACCCTGTCAATTAGACCCACTTGGGGCACCTGGTGCACCCCATTGTAATTAGCCTTCTGCAGGAAGAGGGGTTAATACCTGTAGCAACCTTTAATCAGCCCGATACTTGTGGGCACA